ATTGCGATGTGACCGCACCGATTAAAATTCAGTCTGTCTATAGCAAATTTGGATGGGGTGCTCTCATGGCCTAGAGGTTAAGGTGTTCGCCTCTCATTCAAGGGTCCTGGGTTCGAATCTGAGTAGCGACTGAAAATTTTTCTTCTCTAAAATTGTCTCCTTTCACCTTTTTTCCTCGTCTCTTGCAATATTCTGTCGTCTGCTTTCGTCTCCACTTTCTTTCCCCACCCCCTCACCTCCTTTGCCCCATCCACTGGGCTCCTGACTTTCTGCAGCCTTTCTACTACAACTACCTGGCCGCTTCTTACTGCTGTCTTTCAGCCACACCCCTGATCTTCTGGTAGGAAGGATCTACACCTAGCCTTCTCGGACAAGAGTGAAAAATCTTGGCGCACGTTAAAGATCCCTTGGTGGTCCAAAATCGGTAAGAGTAGGCTTCGGCCGCCACCCGGTTAAATTCAAAATTTCCTGTCAAGTGAAAATGTTTGGTGTGTCCCGCGCGCTCATATGACCTATGCAGTTGCGAGCGCCGTAAAACACTTACCAAAAAAAAAAAATTTTTTTTTAAACTGGAATGCAGAGACAACTGCTGCAGTGGTCAGGAAAACAGAAGCAGCGAAGAGTTCACAATTCGATGTGATCCCGCCTGACCTTGACTTATAATAAGTTATAAGGCCCTACTGGCCCAGCTTTTGTGGTGTAAGTTTAGGTGGAGAGCTCAGATGCGAGTGCGATAGTAATTGAGGAAAACAAACACGTCTACGAGTTCATACGTTTGTGTGATCTCGTCTGGGACAAACATTGTAGCCTACCGTTACAACGGAGATGTGATCATTATTATTATTCACGAGTGGATGATCTGTGACGCAACGGGCAGTACAATGATCGCAAATGTTACTGCTTGGTTGAAGATCAGTTGCGCCCGTCCGAGGTTTTTTTCCCATAATTTATTATCCCAAACCAAGGAGCTTAAAACAAAACTTAAATGCGACATCTTTCAGTGTGGAATCTTAGAGGCTGACTTATGTGAAGCAAAAAAATATGTTTTCTTAAAACAGCAGAATCTTAACAAGAGAACCAGGATTGTAAGCGGTGAGATCTTAGGCGGAGACTACTACGGTACTACTGTAGTACATTTCCACAATTTACAATGCTCAATGCACTTTACAAGACATATTAGTAGCCTATAATTAATTGCATTAAAATAGATGCAGCATTCGCGCATAAGAGCAGGCACATAATGCAGACTTACTTATAATATTTACACAAATTCAATACTGTCTCGCATGCTCATAGCAAAGAGATTGTTCAGTTCTGAATTTGTTCATATAACTCTTTAACATTTTTAACTTCACACCTCATATTAAAGGCAATATCTTGATTAATACTTATCGAATCTCTCTGAAAATTTCAAATAAGACAGTGCTTTCATTTTACTGCGAGGAAAACACGTGGAAGTGAAATACAAAGTTAAGAATATTTTTACTCTTCAATTTTGAACTCATATATAGTTGTCGGGGGTCTAAATGAAAAGGGACAGCTTTCACTTCAGTTACGTGTGATGACATCTGGCGTTGTCCCATCTTCACATCGTCGATGCATGAACGGGGTGAATCGAGGTATTGTCTATTGGGGGATAATATTCCACTCTTGGATTAAGGATTGATCTATCTGAGCAAGGGTACGTGGCCGGCGTGGTCTGGCACGAATGGGGCGATCAAAATGTCCCGCAAGTGCTCAATCGGATTGAAATTTGGTGAATGTGGTGGTCATGGGTGCAGGAGAGGAATGTTCTTAGTTTTGATAAATTGATTTGTCACAGCAGCCTTATGAGCAGGTGCATTATCATGCATGAATACTTGTCATTGGGCTTGATTTTGAAATAAAAGTACATTGGACTCGAGAACTTGGTTGATATTGCCTTGGCCATCACACGCGATGCTGTGCCCAGCGAAGTCTGTGCTGCAGTTTATGCGACAAACTGGGCCCCTAGCACGAAGGTTTCCCTCTTTTAAACGAATAAGAAATGTCATGAGAAATATCGGACTGTCATTTCTAAGTCTTTTTGACTCATCCTGGGTCTTTGTTTGCCGGTTGAAATTGATTTCTCAAGCGTTGCGTTAGGGTGGTTGCGTCCATCCTCCGTTTTGTCTTTCTGTGTCCTACTCGCTTGGGTCTGTCCTTTTGGGAGCCTATCGTTGCCGTGTGATCCCGTGTGGCATACACAGTGTGCTGTTAACGTTGAACCTTCTCGCGACTAACGAAAGCGGAGTGCCCACCTGAAGCATTTCGACGGTGTGATTTTTGTCTAATTCATTCAGGCGAAGCATGGTGAATCGATAAAGAAAGATAGGCAACTTTTTTAATTTGGCGAAAAATTTGGAAGGAGTCCAACTTTGCGTGTGCAGTTTTTGTTTTTAAAGTTACCCACACATTTCCACAGTATTTGACAAAATATCAAAACCACGTGAATGACATCGTCAGACAAAATGATAGATCAGTGCACCCTAGTGAGTAGAGTTCAAGAACGACAATGAGCTTGCGTGACGTGTAAAAATTTCAAAGTAATTGAATCTGTAGTTTTTGAGCTACGCGCTCTTAAAATGTGTGAAGTCAAACTTGTTAAAGAATAAAATAATTGGCCTATGTTTAAATCATTACCCGTAATCGTAAGATTGCGGGTTCGGGGGTTCGAGCCTCAGCTCGGTCCGATGTTGTGTCCTTGGGAAAAGGCACTTTGCACGAATGTCCTATTTGGCTCAGTCCCTTAATCATTTGGAGATGGACTTTTTTTTAAAATGGGAGATTCCGCCTGTTAAATGAACTAATCGGAACCTACACTATTTCATATTTTCACAGCGATATATTGTAATAACAAATTTCACTCACTCGCACGCACGCGCGCACGCACGCACGTTCGCACGCACGCACGCACACACACACACACACACACACACACACACACACACACACACACACAGCGAACGCAGTCACTTGATACAGAACAGCATGAACAACAAAAACGATCTATATTGAAAGAAACATATGTATTGGGAATGTCGGTCATTATTGATTTAAATTAAAGCTGGTCAGCAACAAATAATGAAATGCGTTGGTTTGAATTACGATAAAGTAGTGGTCGCTCTCGTAGGTAGATCTAAGCTTGCAATGCGTTATTTGGGATGCTTTTGACACACTGCGATTTTTTGTTCTAAATATTTTGAAAATCTTAGTATAAAAGATAAGAGTTTTATGCGGCACCAGCAACTTAGAAGTCATATAAGTACCGAAGATTAAAGAGTACTATACAATTTAAAGAGGAGAGAGATAATTACGCCGATAAGTGTTTGATAGGAAGGAGGGTGCAAACCACACCAGAGCGCCCACACACCACCCCGTAGGGAAATCTATAATATATTTATTTTATTTTGCTGTCTCCTTTTAGGCTGGCCACTTTTACAGCTCCACATGCAAAGCGTTCTTCCCCATGTAGATCTAGCTCTCGCAGTCACGGAGCGTCGCACTGAAACTGAAAATGCGTGTACATGCATTTTCCAGCTGAAAACTTTTTCAAGTTCAAGATAAAATAAAACTAGAATCTTGATCAACACTTTGAAATACACGCCGAGAGAGAGAGAGAGAGAGAGAGAGAGAGAGAGAGAGAGAGAGAGAGAGAGACAGACAGACAGACAGACAGACAGACAGAGAGAGAGAGAGAGACAGAGAGAGAGAGAGAGACACAGAGAGAGTTCAATTTGCTGTTGGATCCTTGGCAGATCATCATCCCTTCTCACCCCATGCCGGGGTATTATACCAAGCAGAGCTCCCCTCCTACTTCTCCTGGGCTATAGTCTTCACCTCTATCCAGCTGTATCCCATCTCTTTTGGATCCTGTCCGAATCTAAGTCCATCCCCAAGTACTTATACCCTCTGGAACCTGAACCAAATTCTAGCGTTCTCCAAATCAGAAACCACCAGACTTATTAAGTCCTCCATCTTTCGGGAAGTCGGTATGTGCAGCTAATGGAGCACCAGTTTTTACTTTAGCTGTCCTCGAAAATTCGATTTCCAGGCTTTGGTAAAAGATGTTGCGTTTCAATGACAAATTTGAAAAAAAAAAACCCCACAAAAAACCCCAACAAAAAACGGGGATTTGAGTGGAATGGCCTGGGGAACCTCATGCTAGCGGTTGAGAATTCTCACAGCAATTAAACATCTCTAGAAATTCACTGTAACGTATAGTAACCGTACATCACAAGAAACAAATGCGTTTGCCACACTACTGACCCATAGTTTCTGTGGTTTTAAATCCTTTTTCACTGATATATGTAATTTGATTCTCGCATGATAGAACATGTCGTTTGTTTGTAGTGATTATTCGGATAAGATCTATTTGTTTGCATCTTTTTGCATCACGCCTTGTATCTTTTCGTGTAAAGTATGCAAAAGCAATCTTGCCAAACTTTCCTTTATCTTGAGACTAGGTCTAGAACTACATGTACTGTGGTTCCGAATTCCCTCTTCAAAAGGCTGTGATCTCTGCAATATATCCTTATTGTTCTCATTTTGGTTAGATCGACTGAAAATACTGAAATCATGGTCATGCAATATGCGTCTCTATTGTTGGCCTATGCAATTATTAGACCTAAAATAAAAAAAATAAAATAAACAAAACAAAACAAAAACAACAAACAAAATAAATGACTCTCACCAACGTGAAATCGGTTCTCAGTTGCATTTCAATAGCATTAAAGTTGGTATTGATCCCAAGAACATAACTATTGATGAATTTATTGACAAAGAATTAATTTTATATTATTGACATGTAGATCTATATATAAATATATACATATATATAATATTATTAATTATACTTTATATTGACGTTAAACAAACAGGGCCATTAAAAAGTGGGCGGTGGCTCAAATTTTGATGTTTAGTATTGTTATGCAATGAATTATCTCCCTTGGCGACGCTCTCCTTGAAATAAGGAACCAAGTAGTTGGCAACACAGTGTCACACTGGGCTGGGCCTTTGCCATTCCACAACTCGGTATTTTCATTTTTCATTGATACTACACTTACTCAAAATGGCGATCATACCTGCGACATGGGACATGTATGATTTGATACAAGGAGTATTACAGGTAATAAAGATTTGATTTGTTTAGAGGAATCCCTGTTTAGATTCATCTTGGAAATGTACGGATGTTTGTTTGTAGGTCCTGGCCCTGGCCTTCCGTCAACTAATGTCAAACTATGGCCGACTGGATTCTAGATTTCTAGCAATCTAGCAAGAATTCTTGATTATTTAGGCCTAAGACTAGAGATCTATCTAGATATCTAGATCTAGAGTCTAGATCTAATCTACTTTAAGTTAAGATCTACTTTTAAAGAATAAATTTAGTCTCCTTTTAGACTTGGGGGAGGACTTCCGTTGCCACAATGAGACAGAGTGGTCAGTGGAATAGAGAGGGATAAAATTGGCGGTCTCCTCCTAATTCTGTTTGTTGGGGCAGTTGTGGTCGCTCGTTATGGTAGGAAGTCCTTCCAGACTTTACTTGTGACTATTCGGACTCGAGTCCGAATATGAAAAAAAAATGTTATTCGGACTGATTCTTGTCCAGCATAACATCACTTCCGACTTCCTGTGACTCGTGACTCCGGCTTCCTGTCCTGCCTCACTCGTGACTTGCCTCAGGCTGGGTTGAGACCGGGATCACTTAGGGCAAAATGGCGTTTTGTGCAGGAGCCGAGTTTTTATCTTATGATGAACTTGAGGCCGGCCTGAAAAGTTAGAGCGCTTCTAATAAATGTTTATTTGTCAAGAGGCACCAGAAGCAATTAAAGATGGCTCGTTAGCGTGTGTCGGGGTCAGATGGGCGGCCTGCACACGTGTGGCTATGTGTGCGTGTCGGGGAGGGGGGGGGGCACTATCGGTCCGGGTGTTGAACGTGGCATACCCGCGTCAGTCTTTTATCCCCCGGCAACTGATCATTATTATTAACTAATATTACAATAATAAGCTAGTCTTGATGTAGATCTAGATCTACATTATATTGAATTGTGCGCTTGTCTATGGAATCAAAAGTTGCCGTATGCTCGGCTCTTCACAGCAACACAACTTTTTCTTGGTAGACAATCGAGATGACACAGGCTTGTGTGTATTTGAACGAATCGGTCTTTTTTTTTTTTTACACAGCTCATAATGTGCAGGTGCCAGGTGGTCTGCTAATCTTAAATTTTACCTTTTTCTACAACAAAGAAAGTGGGAAACATGGGGGGTGGGGGGGGGGGCGTATCACTGAGGCGGCGGGCATTGGGTCGGCAGATAAGGTGTGGGAGAAACTAAAAAATGGCGGAAAATTGGAAGCACTGAACTTTAGATCTCTATAGAGCGAAGACACTTCCTTTTTTTGGGACCCGTGTCCGAATAACATTTTTTCATATTTGAACTGGAGTCCGAATAAGAATTGTTTAAAATTCGGACTCGAGTCTGGATATGAAAAAATATTATAGGGACTCGAGTCCGAATAAAGCGTTCACCGTGATATGTTATAGTCTAGGAATACCAGTGTAGCATTCACAGTGAACCACTGAATTCTACACTGTGATAAATAACAGAGGTGTAGAATTCTGTGTCGTGAACAAACATTCCAGCGCTCTTGAAAAGCGTGCAGTTTCGTCTGTGGGCAGTGAGAGAGAGAGAGAGAGAGTTTGTTTTGGTCAATTTGATCGTCCACACTGGTAGACAGTATTCAGAAAGACACGGAGAGAGAGAGAGAGCCAGAGAGGAGGAGTAGATCTTGCGAGAACTTGCGGGCAAAACAAAAAGGCGACCCGCGTAGTTCGGCTTGATTAGAAAAGTGAAATAGCCATAGCATCTTTGCTGATGGTCAAATTAGCTTGCTTTTGTGCTATAATGTCATTTTTTTCTTTGCTTTTGTCAAATTTGATCATCCACACCGATAGACAGTATTCCGAAATTAGGAAAAACAGGTCTTCTTTCACAGTGGGTGAGAATAGCCGACACTGGCAAGTATCACCCGGGGTGAGAGGTCGATCTTATCACTCCGGGTGAGGATAGTCACTTCCTAGATTCTAGTATTATGAATATGTAGGCGCCTAGATCTAGATTCTTAATCGACTAGACTTACTTAAAACTCATGTTCTGCGTCGGTGCCGAGATGCAAATCTTACACAGAGCTGTCTGAGCTCCTCATGTCAAAGTGGGCCAATTTGTTATAATTTCATTGGACGAACATCTAGAGCTACCAACTTGATGTGTTTTGAATGAGCTGTACTCCTCGGTTATGAACCAGCGTAGGCAGTTCTACATTCTACAAGTAAGCCATAAACGCACACAAACTCAAGCAGACTAACGCACACACACGGTCATCACACGGATGATGCTTGGCGCACGTGCACTGGACTAGGAGAGCCAGACTGATACAGGCTCCAGCAGGAACCCGGACAACGGGGGTCTAAGTACGAAAGTCAGAAAGAAGTGGGGTCCGAATACTATAATCTGATTCATCACACCCCCGTTGTCTGAATAGTGAATGACATAGTGACATATATGTTTTTCTGAAAGAAAGCGAGAGATACGCTGCTAGATAACTTTTAAACTGGGAGTTTCAGGCGGGTTTGTTCCCCGGAGTGTAATGAATAAGTGAATAAATGAGAGATTTTCGCATAAATTGGCTTGATTTGGAAGAATTTAACCCTCAAAATCAAAACCATTCTGATCTATGTTCAAGGTGCGGGAGGGGGAGAGGTTTTGCCCCCTTATTTGTTCACATTTAGGTAAGGTTGATTTGCAATGATTATGATGGTCAAATTCATTCAAATCACTCCAAAAATCATTTTAAAAACATGGTTTGATATCCAAGTGAAACAGGTCCAATACTGCAAATTTAATGTTTCTTGTACAGCTGTGATGCTGAAAGTGGAAAAGGGCCATAAGAAAAGTGACACATGTCACATGATCTACTGAAAATATTTTGAGAGTGAAAGAGGCTTTCTTTACTTTTTTTTTGATTAGGTGCAACCATCCTTTAACAATTAATGGCTCACTATAACTGCACAGGTTAACCTTCCAGCATTATGTGTGTCACTTCTCATGGAATGGCCCAAAAGTGTTATAATCTTCACCTTGAACGAGACTCTAAACCTTTTCTGAATTGTGATGCATCGAGTGTGGAAAAACAGAACTGAAATGTGGTCTAACATTTGCAAACTGCCATTTATTGTGAGGTCAGGTAAGGTTTAGTAATTGTGACAAAGATTGAATTAAGATGCTGATCTGATGCTAATACTGTTTGCATGTTGTGAGCCAGTTTCATTTTTATTTCTACAGGCTCCTATGTATCATGTCATATTTGAAGTGACTCTGATTGTGCTCATTGTCAAGATCTACTTGGCTTCGAGTTTTTCTCCTGAAAAAGCAGTTCTTACAGAAAAGGTGAGCAGTGGAAGACAATTTTTGTTTTGTGCAAAGATTTTCACGGAATTAGAAATTGTGTTGGTGGTTTCAATGAAATAATTTCTGTACTTACTGCTTTGAACCATGGATATACTCTTGAAAAGGTGATATTACATTAATAGTACGATTTTTAGGGAGCCAGATTTATGATTATTAAATGAATACTGGCAATCATAAGCAGCTAATTAAAATTATGTCCTGATGGAGATTTTTTAAATGTTGATTCAGCATACATTGTTCTTATATATATGTAAAAGTATACTCTGGCGCTGACCAAATGACAAGGACATGTGGTTACTTGAGGGAGGCATTGCGCTGCCAAGAGCGAAATGCTCGCAGCTAAAAGGATTTGAAAACAACAACAACAACATGTAAAAGTAAGCAGTAGGAATACTTGCTGACTTGATGAATTCAGGTATCAAAAGCACATATAAAAGTTTTCTATTGTTACAGATGTAATAAGTTTGGAAATTCAATGTCATACATTTCAAGTGTGTGCTTTGAAAAAGGAAAATGAGTAATCGGTGAACTTGTCGATGATTCACATCATAGTCTGTCAAGAGATTTAAAATCATTGTACTTATTTTTCACTGAATCTTTTTATAAAAAGTTCTGTTTCTCCTAATCAATTTGTTTGCTGTGACGTCCCCAGGAGAAGGACATTCTGGTGGAGGAGTGGGAGCCGGAACCACTGGCGCCGGACGTACCGGACGACCACCCAGCTTTGAGAGCCATGGAGAAATACTGTATAGAAGGGTAAATTACTAGTTGAAAGTAAAGTTTAACATAGCCCACACCCCCTCTTCATTTCGAACTGCTAGTGCATAATCTCTCGCGTCACAGTAGACTTGTGGGTGGTTGGCAGGTGCTCTGGTGTGGTTTGCTTCTTCTTTTCTATCAAACATCTATCGTCCTTATCTCTGCTCCTTTTATTTGTGTTTGTTACTCTCTTGTAACACCTTTAATCTTCGGCACTTACATGACCTTATTGTTTTGCAAGTGCCGTAAAACACTTGCTAAAACTAAAAGTACCGTAAAACACTTACTAAAACTAAAAAACAGTGGACTTGCAGCTATGTCTAACAGGAACAGGAAGGAAACTGAACAATGATTTTGGTGATGCTTTAACTCTTATCCTGCGTCTGTGCTCAGATGCGTATCTTATCAGCAACCGATTACGTCGGACGTGCCGGGCAGGCCGCCGGGGTCACTCAGTGTGTACTTTTGGTGTACAGCGCGCGCGCCGGGAAACATGTGTTTTCGCCATGAATACCGTGGGAGTGTGTTAACCGAGGATGAAAATAACGCTCTATCTTTCATAGCTTTCTATTTATAAAGTGTTACAAACACATGAATAACCCCCTCTCACAAGCTGATAAGACATTACGAGTAGTTACGCCCATTCGAATAACCTTTCTCGACGCTCTTGTTGTTATGAATGACCTGAGGTTCGAAAGGGGATAATTTAGGTCAATTTCCGAATGTTTTACACTCAAATTGTTCTTTGTACCTGCACAATGGTATTCAAAACTATCAAACAAGCTTATTTTTTTATCAGGTAGTATCATTTCATACAAAATCAAGCTCATTTGAAATATTTTGTATAGAAAAATGGAAGTCTTGTTTCCTGACTATCCTTTCGAGCTCCTCATGTCTAAGCGGGTCAATTTTTTCTATAATTTCATTGACTGAACATCTAGAGCTACCAACTTGGCATGTTTTGAATGAGACGTATGCCTCGATTACGAACCAACGCAGGCGGTTCTAGAAGAAGGCCTCAAACGCACACAAACTCAAGCAGACTGGAGCACACACACTTGACCTGCGTGAATGGAGATCCGACTCTGGACCCGAATTACACGTTAGAGGATGCGCGCTGAGCCGGGGACTACTCTGATTCGGGACCAGAACACAGGCGAGGTGCCGAAATAGGCTTATCGGGCTACATAAACCCGGCTCCCGCAGGATGAGGGTTAATACAAAGGGGTTATACTTCACTTTTACCCAAATTTAAATACTATCAGACTCTTGACTCTTGAGAGGGTTGCGCTTTGCTTGTTCAATATGACTTTGTTGTTGTTGTTTGTTTATAGGTTGTGGAGCATTTAGTTTTTTCACATCCTGGTTTCGTCTACTCCTTATACTTCTGTCCAGTCGTGCTAATATCGTGTTCTGTCCCTGTCACAGTGTGGCGGTTATTGTGTTGATTCACCGTTCATAAAGAATTGGACCACATTTGGAATCTATGTTGCATCATATGTGTCTCTTGACTTCGGTTGATTTTACTGTGACTGCATTTCCAAAGGAACCAGAGGATTTAAATTTTAGTTGTTGTTTTCTTTTTTGTTTTGTTTTTTTGTAGATGAAAAAAGTTGTTTGCTTTTTGAGGTGGCTCAAAGAGTTTGAAAATTGTTTCTAAATGTTTTCAAAGAAAAAGGTTGAAATTTTTTCTGTTTTTGTAATTCAATTTCAAGTTTATAATGTTTTTCACTTTTTTTTTACCATTTCAGCCAAAATGGAAAATACATCAAAGTCAATGGAAAATCGTGCCTCAACATGGCCATATTTAATTTCCTTGGGATGAATGGCAAAAAGGAAATTGAGGTGAGTTTAAAGACCTGTCACAGCATAGATCGACCTGGAATTTGCAGTATGATTAGCCTTACAATTAAAATACTTCCACTGTCTTATTTCCTTGTTTTCAGAATGACTCTCTATATACTATATACATTTTCCTCTCGTTGCTCTGATGGGAATAGGTACACAGCATGGACAGTAAAATCTGTTTATTGTTAGTGCTTTGATGGAACCGTGCTAACTTGAAATTTTGTGGAAAAAAAATTTTTTCACCAAAGAATTCTTGATTCCTTGCTATACAGTGTGTATAAATTTTAATCCAGACTCAAGCTACAAATATCGGAAAACGCACTTTAAATTCTGCCTGAATTTCATTCTCGAACACAAGGACATATATGTAATCTGTTGAACTTTGCTGACGCGATATAGGGAGGTTCTGTCAGAGCACCGGTCATGCCACGAGGGTTAGTGAATCTTGCTATCTTTTTCTTCTTCTGTAGCTGGCCTTCTCTGGAGGGCAGCAGCCTGCCACATGCAGTGAGATATATGTGACAAACTCTTTGGGTTTGGTCCATAGCACATCTGGTTCGGGCCGGGTATTACCTTGCAGTAGTGGTTTGCGGTACAGGTCCCTTTGCAGGCATTCAAATAATTTGTGTCTTAAGTCATCAGGACTGACACCACATCTCGGGCACAAGTCGTCTGGGGTTGAGTCTATCCTACGCAGGTATGACTGTAGGGTAGGACTTTTTTGTGTTGCACCGTTATCGCGACAATATTCTCCTTTGTATTCTGGAGAGACCTTTCTCCTTGTCTGCTCTGGTGGTGGTTTTACCCTTTCTCCAACAGAATGATGAACTCAAGTGCGGTTCCTTTCGTTTGCGATAACATATCGCATAATGCATATCCTCAACAAAGATCTATTTCTACATTTGCTTGGTCCAGTTGACCGCCTTGGCTGGCCAGTGCATCAGCCCTATTGTTGCCATAAATATTGCTACAGTGGCCCGGTATCCATTGTATGTGGATATGGCCATATATTTCGCAGCAGCGACATATTGCAATCCACAAGTTGTCCTCCACTTTGGTTTTGACTGTGGTCACACCTGCTGTAAAGTACTTTATTAGTGATTGCGAGTCTGTGTAGAGATGTGCATGTTGATATGGTGGCTGTTCTGATAACCCAGTCAAGATTTGCGACCTCTATGCTGGGGACTCTGGATTATCCAACAACTATCCAGACCGAACCGGGTGGATGGTTGGCGGGTGCTCTGGTGTGGTTTGCTCCTTCTTTCTTATCAAACATCTATTGTCCTTATCTCCCCTTCTTTTTTATGTTTGTTACTCTCTTGTAACACCTCTAATCTTCTGGCGCTCATATGACCTTATGCAGTTGCGGGCGCTGTATAACCTCTTCTAAAACTAAAAACCGAACGGCAAACAACACCTGGATCTTGTTATCTTCCTCCGTGTGGTCACTTACTTTATCGATTTCACTCGATGTGTTAAGGCACCAAAAAATTTTCACCCATCCAAAACTCATAATAGCTCACTAACTGGCATCGGGACATTATATAAAATGACCCAGAGCATTTAAAGACAACCCAAAAGCAGTAAGGTTAGATTAGAGCAACTGTAAGCCACTTGATGCATTTTTCTAACTTCACAAACACTTTAGCGAGGTTCAACGGAGCAGCGCTTGAGACAGAGAACCTCACCAAACAAAGGATGTTTTGTCGCTAACTCAGTTGAGATTGCTTAATGATGCGCTCGGGTAAAACACATACTTCTTTGTAGGACTTTGTGTAAGACCCATCACAATACATTGACAAAATTTGATTGCCTAGGTGTTGATGTTAACAATGTTAGATAGTCTTTTGGTCTCTCCTGTAAAATTTTAACATTCGAGTATACAAGGTTCCAACAGAGTGCTGATGGTGTTCGTAGTTGATAGCCTGTTAATTGGCTGTTTTCAATGCATTCCTAAATGCCATTTGTTATTGGTATTGTAATGATTATAACATTTTTTCTCCGCTCCATTTCTTTTGTGCTCAACTCCGGTCTGATTGAAATGGGAATAGATACACGACACAGCATGGATAGTAAAGATCAAATCAGTATATTCATGTTTGATCGCCTTTTAATTGGCAGTTTGCACTGCATTGTCTAGATGCCGTTTGTTAGTTATTAATAATATCATCATTATTATGACATTTTCTTAGTAATCTTTTGTGCTCAGTACAGGTCTGATTGTATTTCTGCATTTGTTACAGTAGTAGTTTGTCAAGGGTTTTGGAACTTCCTTTGCATAACACTGTTGGATTTTGGTGCACCTGACTCCATGGTATTCCTTTCTCTCCTTCTTTTCTATTTTACTTTGCTCAGAATACTTGTAGGGAAGGGAAGGGTGTGATGAATAAATGATTGCTTTCAGCGATATTTATGTCAGCAGCTCTCCAACCCCTCTGTGAATCGGATGATAAAAAAAATAGATTCATTCCATACCAGCAGAAAATGTAAATTCCCTCCCCGCCTAGTTGTAATATTGCACATAGAATATCTATGCTCAAATGAAAATTTGTGATAATTACTATGGTATATTGTCTCTCTTCTCTTTTACCATTGGCCCTCCTGCTTCCCTTTTAGAAAGCTATTGTTTGGTGTTTTTTGTGTGTGTTGAAAATTCTCCAATTTTGTTACAGGAAGATGCTGTGAAGGCCCTACGTGTTTATGGGGTTGGATCGTGTGGGCCAAGAGGATTTTATGGCACCATGGGTAAGGTTCTTTATGATATTTTACGCTTTTTCTTCTCCTGGTTCATGAAGGCTAATAAAACTGAAAGCATGTCGCTATGGTGTATGAGTTGTAATTGCCTACATGTTATATCTTGTGATTGTGCCTCTTGTGGCTAATGAGGCCAATCTCATGGCAGAAAATCAAAGAGTGCTGAATAAAGATTGATGTTTTAAATTTCGTGTCTCCTCAGATGCTGCTAATATGCCCTGTTGTAGTTTAATAATAGGCTTAAGTACACAGCTCAGGTGTACATGTGTGGTGTTTCCTTTGGTATGGAAACATCTCTTTCTTCTTCTCTACTTTTCTACCCTCCTACCATTTGGTGAAGTTCCCCACCTTGGAAATGACATACATTTGTGTTTAGTAGGTCTACTAGTTAAATTCAGATTAATGGTCTATCTTGTTGTGCTGATGTTGTCCTTTGCTTTTGAAATTGTAGTTAGTAACCATCCTTGCGCCTCCCCCCCTTTTTTTTTTTCTCCACCAGATGTGCACCTGGAGTTGGAAGACAAACTGTCCAAGTTTATGAACTGTGAGGAGGCGATTTTGTACTCATATGGATTTGCATGTATTGCCAGTGCTATTCCTGCCTACTCCAAGCGAGGAGATCTCATTTTTGCGTCAGTATCTGAGTGGTTCCACATTTAGTTACAGTAATTATGGGAATCAAGTTCATTATATCATTGATCAGATCACGACCTCGGTGCTTTTTTGTCGTATCTCCATTTTTTTAAACAGTGAAAATAGTTCATTACAAAGAGTGGGCTGAAGAAGAAGTCACATTTTCACTGTAAAAAATGGGGGATACGACAAGAAAACACTGAGGTCGTCTGATGCTACCAAACTGAAATATTTTTTTGTGTTTTCATTCTTAAAATTGTAATTATTTCTTTCTGTCTGTGTCCTTGCAGCAAGTTACTGAAGTGTTCTATTGGTTATTTTTAACTGTGTAGTAAGAATCCATGTTTTAAAAAAATAACCAGTACAGACTGAATATTTATTGATGGCCCGCTTTGTTTATAGGCATTTGATCCTTGCACTTTTTATTTAGCCTAAAATCTTAGTGCACATTTAGATATTTCTATATATGTGAGGACCATCCAATTGTTACCTTAATGTATCCGTTTGTTGTAGAGACGAGAGTGTGTGCTTTGCAATACAGAAGGGCCTGGTGGCCTCCCGAAGTCACGTACGCTGGTTCAGACACAATGACATGGATCATCTCGAGTCTTTGCTCATTGAGCAGAGCAAAGCAGACAAGAAGGTGAGCTGATTTTCTTTGTTGTTGCCTTTGTAATCCTGCCTCGAATATATCTCAGGAAAAGCTAAAGTTGGACATTGTCAATTCAATAGACCTGTCAAGCACAAAGATAAAATCAGAGCCCTCTGTTTGGTTTTTTTTTTGCTCATGGAAGAACCCATATGGGATTCTGTTTTCATTGGTTGTGTTCAACTTATTTGTAAATGACATGAAAACACACATTTCTATTTGTGTGCTTACACAGCTCAAGGTTGACGCTGACTGGCAGGGTTGAAGCAGCCCTCCTCCTAAGTAATCTAAATGTGACAATTGAGATGTGTAAGATTTCACATCATTATGTTTGCAGCCTATAAATTCTATTTCTGATAAGTCTGTTTCCGTTTGTTGAACAACTGCAAATACATTGTATTCACAGAACCCGAAAAAGGCCAAGGTGACTCGTCGCTTCATTTTGGTGGAAGGTCTTTATTTGAACAGTGGCGACATTTGTCCTTTGCCAAAACTGGTGAGTTCTCTATGTTGAGATAGTATTTGATGTTTACAAAGTTGTGTGCACTTACGTGTATTGCACGATCAGCTAAACTGCTAACTGCAAGGGTACAGGTCGCACAAGAAAGCACAAATAGTTGCATTCGGAGTCTCAGAAACAACATACAAAAGATACAATGAATACATCTCTGTTTAACTGGCTTTTATGTATAGTTGGCACCCCTGCAACTCCCTGTATGGTCTATAGAGTTACATGTAAAGTAGTAGAAATAAGACTGTTTTGACAGTGTTCACAGATAAATTATGACAACAATGAAGCTGCTTTAGAATTATAAATTTTTCATTATAATATAATTTTCGATGTGGATACTCAAATATTGGAACATTTATACTACTGGTCATGTTAACTTTTCCATGGTTTTGTCTTTATTAATTCGTTTCAATCTGGTTTTCAGGTGGAGCTGAAATGGAAGTACAAGGTTCGCATCTTTCTGGAGGAGACCATGTCATTTGGTGTACTTGGGGCCACTGGCCGTGGGGTAACCGAACACTTCGACATCTCACCCGACCAGATTGACATGATCTCCTGTTCTCTGGAGAATGCTATCGGATCTGTTGGTGGCTTCTGCTGTGGGAAAAAGTTTATCATTGACCACCAGGTATTCTGTTGTTTTTGTGGCTTTTTGTTTACAATACCCTGTGCTGTCTCTGTCTCCCTAGCTTTTTACTGGCATGAAATCGCAAATTTCCTGTTGATGTGCTTCTGTCTAGCTCGTACACATTTTCATCTTATCCTTGGAATCAGAAGGGAGGATTGTCTGTGTTGATGAAGGGTAGACTGCCTGCAAGCCAGATATAGTTGAAAGCAATTTTAGTCTGGCCTGCGAGTCAACCCAGTAATTAATAATGAATGTGGCCTTATGTGAGTTCGTGATTTATTAAAAAATAACTAATCTCTCCGTCTTAAAAATCAAAATCAATAGTTTGCGGCCGTGCTGGAAGCAATAGATCTAATATTGTATTTCATGAATGCCCTTGAGTGACAAATGCTGCTTAAGTCTAACATTTGCGAACATAATGTCACATAATTTTCTCATGCTTCTGCCCAAGACTAGGATTTTTGGTGGACAGGTTGATGTAAAAGGAAAAATTAAAATGTTATGTTAAATCAGTGTGGGCTGTTTGTGAATGCCGTAATGCGGTTTGTTTCTCGTACTTGTTTTTAGACTCCCTGATGAACTGTTGCAGTTGTCACTTTGAATCTCAAAAAAAGTTCTACTTAACTCATTTACTGCAGAGCACTTTTGACTCTATATCCAAGGAATGCCTGTTTCTTTGACTGTTACTTCGACGTGAATATCGACAAAACATAACGCCAATTCCGGTCAGTTGAACTTTAGCTGAGGTGATTGTCCTTCACCTTCAATTGCTTAAAAACTTACCATGCAATTTCCACCAAACTGGACGCAAAACGAAAGAAGTAGTAAAACTAGCACTGGAGTCCGTTTCCGTTGATGTGACGGGAGCACAATTTTCGGAATAAAACTGCAAAGTCCATCTCGTCTGGGATCTGTATCAGTGGACTGACTGTTGGTCTGGTACCGGTGACCGGAACCGTAGTCAGTCAGTTAAGATTATGCCAATATTATCCATGTCCTCAAAAACTGATGAGTGCCTGAACCAACATGCTGGAACAGAAATAGGAAATTGAAACCAAGGAGTTGTGGTAATGGAGTATGTTTTTTCTGAGGGTACGGCAGTGGGTGAATTAAAGACAACAAATGTGGGTAGTTGGTGGGTGCTCTGGTGGGGTTTGCTCCTTCTTTCCTATCGAACATCTATCGTCCTTATCTCTCCTCCTTCTTTTTTTAATGTTTTTTACTCTCTTGTATCACCTCTAATCTTCTGGCGCTCATATAACCTTATACAGTTGCGAGCGCCGTAAAACCTCTACTAAAACAAACGAAGACAACAAATTTTTGGTGTATTTTTGAGTAAAGGTGCTGTGTGTGAAATAGAAAGCTGAATGATGAACTTTTTCCACCTGAACACTGGGTTTTTTAATTTTTGAGATTCTCAAGTAGTTTTTGAAATATTGCACTTTTTGTGAGGTAGGGTATAAAGATTTATTTTGAGAAAATCAGCTTTTAAATTTGGGACGCATACAAACTTGAAAAAAAAAAGATTCATTTCTTTCTAATGTATTTATTCATGGAAAATTAATTTCCAATTTGGCATTTAGTCGACATCAAATTATGATTAGAATTCATTGGTAAACATAACGGGGAAGAGAAAACATGCTTCAAGAATAAATTTTAACACCTTCTAAAAGCAGTTTTCATTATCTCTTTAAAAAATACCCTCGTCTCAAAATTATTCAAAATAAAATATTTATAAGTCAAATCAATAAAAAAAAACCTTTAGACACATTATTAAAAAATGGAGGAACTATCATTTTTTAATGGAAACACGTTTTAGTAAAAAAAAGTTGGGGTTTTTTTTGGTCGTTTTCAGCCTGTAGCTCAAAATAGTCTATGGCGACTTTTGGTACCTTTCTTTAGGCACACACACATATACATCATGTTATATGGGTGAGACAATCGTTGTACTGTTGGCGTGGGAAACCTCATTTTGTTATAACTACTCTTCTTTTGTATTTTAGTTCACCAAGGTGCCTCAGTCTGTTCTGAAAGCTCAAAATGCCAAGTAATCCTTGTAAGAGTGCGTATATTCTCTTCTGGTTGTTATTTTGATATCTGTCTCTGTGTTGTGCTGTCTGTGAAAGGAGGTGCATATTCTTTACTGATGACAGTGGGTGGTTGGCGGGTGCTCTGGTGTGGTTTGCTTATTCTTTCCTATCAAACATCTATCGTCCTTATCTCTCCTCCTTCTTTTTTGTGTTTGTTACTTACTCTCTTGTAAAACTTCTAATCTTCGGCACTTATATGAGCTTATTGTGTTGCAAGTGCTATAAAACACTTACTAACACTAAAACTTTACTGATGGCAGTTGTTATTTCTCTCTATCAGCGTTTGTCTGGTCTGGGATACTGTTTCTCAGCCTCTCAGCCCCCCATGCTGGCGTCATCAGCCATTCAGTCACTGAAGATGTTACAGGAGAAACCAAGTAAGTTGTGGCTCTATAATGTTTCCTAAATTAAGATAAAATTGTATTGATACCTTGCAGGCTTTGGTGCTTGGGGGAACTGAGCACTTATGGACCTGTCCGCTGTGCAATGACGTTGTTGCCCAGGACAGGTAATACAGATAAAATTGTTGAGACAGTTTGCAGCATGATATAAAGGGGACGTGGGTCGGAAATTGATGGAGCACTTATGTTTTTCGGTGTATGTTTATTGAGAGCAAACTTGGTAAGTAAGTAGTTTGAAAAACAAAAGTGACAAAAAGCTGTAACAGCGCTCTAAGCATTAGTGGTTGTAGGATATTTATCCTGATGCTGTATTAGAGACTCCTTAATTTCGAGGTAAGGTATTAGCAGGAACTTATCTTCTCTTGCTAAATTACCTAGTTCCATTTACAACTGTTTCTGATATTCATAGTTCCTACGCTGAAGTAAGCAAAAAGAGTTATGTTTGATCAGTAAAAGGATTAATAGAGCACTGCCTTTTTTCATGATTTTGGTTCATGCACCAGGACAAATCCCCAGGAGCTAAATTGTTAAACCTACTCTTCTTTCCTCATTCACTGCAAGGAATGCACATGTCTAGATGTTGTCTTCAGTTTTGTACATGTACTCTTATTTGCTGTGGGGACTGACTGTTTTTGATATTTTTTTGTTCAGGCATGTTGGTGGACCTGAGAGAAGCCAGCGAGAAACTGCATGCAAAACTGGAAAAGTGAGTATTGACGGATGTTTTGATCCCTGCATTTTACTGAATATCTACTGATAATTTTACCGTTTGTACAGGGAAAGCCCTATACTGCCTCGTAAAAGAATGCTGAGGAGGCAAATTCCTATGGCCACTCAGTCTCTGGCAAGCTTAATGTTTACTTATGTTTGGTCAGCGTATGTTGAGGTTCGTGGCTTCAAGTTTAGGTGCAATTGGCATAATATACCTGTGGTAAGAATACATCTAGCCAAATTATTGACATGGGTACAGTGGGGTACAATGCGCACTAAAGAAGGGCTTTTTAGAATTGTTGCTTGTTAATTTTTTTCCTTCAGAGCGAGTATTTAGACATCTTAATGCTTCTGAGGTCACCGTTTTTTTCTTTGGAATGACGCACTGCCCGAAATTTTGTATCGTTGGTGTTAACTTATTAACAATTAGTTGCTGTAATGAATGCTCTGCCGTCTATTTCATTGAGTCATTAAGCTTAAGATCTTTACCTCCATGTTTTAATTTTACCTTTTCTTGTCTGTCTTTGAAAAATGAAATGGTATGGGTTTAACACCCCTATCAACACTTTTAGGTTATTTAAGGGGCGGGACCTCCTAGTTTAACGTCTGTCTCCAATAGGACCAAGCCAAGTGGGAAGTTCGTGTAATGTGCCTTTCCCAAGGACACAACGTCAGACCCAGCTGAGGCTCGAACCCCGGAACCCTCAATCTCACGATTACGAGTTCGGTTGCCTAACCACTAGGCTACCGACGTGACCTGTCTGTCCTTTGTTTTTCTTCTCGGGCGAGTTATGACTTTTCTTTTGATATGCATATTATATTTGTATAAAATCCTGTGCTTCCTTTTATTCCCCCCATTTTGTTGCAGTATTTCTGGAGTGAACATTGTTGGCATCCCCATTTCCCCCATCAAGCACATTCAACTAACAGAACCAGCAGAAGATCGTGACCTTGACCTTCAAACCCTTCAGATGGTCGTTGATGAGGTGATAATCTCAGTGCACTCGTTTAGAGTTGTATTGTCCTGGGTTGTTTTTTTTTCAGTTTGACTCAGTAGCTGCTACTATTTTTCATGAAACATAATATTAGGACTGGACAAAAGAGGGCAAGAGGAGACTCAGTTCAGAAGAATTAGAGCCAGATTATTAGTGTGACGTACATGATGTAATGTCGTATAGGCAACCAGGAGCGGCAACTTTTGCCAACTTCCGTGACGTACAATTATGTATTTTTGTGACATACCAGGTACGTCTTAAGGAAATGAAGGGGTTAAAAAGGCAGCAAATTTCACTTTTTGACTTACATTTGCCATTTTATAAAATTATGGGTAAGATGGGGAATATAGGGTGTTAAGAAAGGGACATCATTGAAGACACAGGATCTGAACATGTCATGAGTGGGCCAGATCTAGACAGCGAGTCCTCTCACACTGAGACCTGAGGCTGCTGTTCTGGCTAATGAGCTTGGCTGAAAATCAGTGCTAACAATAGAAATGCACACTACATGGCATTGGACAGAAGGGCGAGAGGCCAGCTGTTGCTGGATCGATAACAACAACAACAACAACAACATAGAAATGCACACCCCCTTACAATAAAGTTCATATGTGCTTGAGTGAATAGTACTGTGGAGTTCGCCTTTAGTGAATTGGCTGTCTTTATGCTGGCTCATCTGATTCAGAACTTGGTAACATTTATGGCTTTTATTTTGCCTTTCCCCCTGCTTGTAAGAACCTTTATTATTTCGATGGGCATTGCTAAGCTCTAACTGTTGATGGAATTACTTTATCACTTGAACTCAAACAAACTTAGCATCTCAGGGGTACAACATTTGATGTCTCTTCAGGCGATGAGCTCTGGCGTTGCTCTTACTGTTGCCCGTTACTTGGAACCAGAGGAGCACTCCTTGATGCCCCCAAGGTGGGTTTGAAAAAACTTCTTCCTGTGATACTCCTCGTGCAACAATGCATGAGGCATGCTTTTTTTTCTTTTGGGAGGAGGGGGGGGTCACTTGTCCTGTTATATTCCAGATGTTTTCCAGTGGTAATGTTGTATTTCATCAGGGTTTTGAACAGTCCAAGTAGTTGATTAAACTAACGTTACACAGGAGACTTGAAGAGTGTTTTTGACTTGCACATATTTCCTTACATAATCTCTTTTACGTTTACTGATGTAGGCCCATTTAAAGGCTGTCAAGATAAAGGAAAGTTACCCTGATCTGGTCCTTAAAGTTCTGATCGGAAAGGTCATCGTCCCTATGGAAAAAATTTTGATAGATTGGGAGGCGGGCTACTTTGACCCTGCCTGTCAGAGCCTACCCGGGCTGATTGAGGTTCAGCCTCTCCTGCAGATAGACAGAAATACTTGATGAAACAACTTCCCAGTTCAGGAATTAAAAGTGAACAGTGGCAAAAGCATTACCATCATAACAATCACACTGGTGTCAAAATTGCTTTCTGTCTATTAAACTGTTCCTTTTAGTAAGATTTGCTGTAGTGTAGTACACATTTTTTTTAATGATCTTGAAAAATAGGTTTTGCTTCATATACCTGATATGTGTTGCTTTTATTTTTGTTCAGGATAAATTCCTAGGAAAATGTACTTGTTATTGTGCTGTTGAGATGTTTACTGTTGATCAACAACATCTCTACATGAAGTGTCTTCTTTTTTTAAAGTACTATAGTAATACATGTGTATATTTCAGCATTCGTCTGACTGTGAACTGTGAACTGACCGACACGGAAATTGATACTGTGATACGAGTTCTTTCCGAATCCTTTGAGCTGGTTTTCCAGAAGCTCTCTTCTCAGTAAGTGTTATGTGGGCGTGTAGGAGGAAAATGTTGGTACTAGTAGTTTTGAACTTTACACTTATCTAAACACAGTCTTAAAATGTCATTGATTAGGTCTATTGAGGCATGTAGTGACTGCAAGTTCACAAAGATTGTCAAGGAATGTAATTGTGAAAGCATTCACTGGTGTGTGTCCTTGACCCAGGCATTGCTCAAATACAATGGCTGGGCTGTGAGGAATTTATTATAGATAGCTTTGCCCTGTGATTTATTGTTGTTACCATTATGAATTAGAAGTTCCTTGCGGGTAAACAATTTTTTTGTTTTTTTGTTGTGTTTGTTTTTTTCTTACATTTTTGTTTGAAAATCTTTTCATCATTCCTGTCCTCTTTCTTTTCTCAGATTGGATATGACCAGTGCTATGGACTCTGTGGAGCATCAGCCTGCCCTTGCTGCCTCTCGCTGAGCTGTTATCATCCCTGGACCTAGATGTCTGAGGCGAGAATACAGCTGATATTACGTGCATAATGAACATTTCCTGAAAATTTTACCCATCTCTTTTTCAGTTACTTCTTTTTACTTTGTTTGGTTTGATGCTCATTTTTCATGCCTTCATACTGGTGTAGCTGTTTTTTTAGAATTTGAAATTTACTTTTTTTTCTTCAATTTCTTTCTATCCTTCAGTGAAACATTTGTGGGTTAGAGAGATAGAAGTCAGCGTGATGAGAATAGTAAAGTCATTTTAGAAATGTATTTTCTTACTTTTTCTTCTTCTTTTTTTTCCCTTAACTTCAAAATTAAATCAGACTTTTCTTTGGTAGGCAGTGACAATGACGTACTGATAACCCTTTTGTTTAAAGGGTTTTGTATCTTTCACGTTTATCCCCTGTCACATGGGCTGTTGACTCTAAAGCAGATGCATTGAAGAGTGCAGCATTATTCCTAAAGCTAATTTCTAGGAACTGATTTTGTTCCACTCAACTTAAGTGTAATTGCCAACATGCCGTAAAAGTTTGGAGAGAATGTGAGCAGATATTCATTAAGTTATTTTCACTTTATTATGTTGACAATGCTTCTGTTTTTTTCTTCTTTTTTCAGACATAAAGTTAAGATTTTTCTTTCAGCAGAGTCCCTTCCTTTATCATTTGAGTGTTCTCATTCAAATAGTTCTATACTTTTTCTACTTTTTTCTTACCCCCAAAGAACTTGTATTTTGTGATTGTTTCTAATAATTTTGTAATCAATGAAGTTGAGGTTCTGTGCTTCTTTTGTTTCATTTTTTGTCTTGAATTTGTCTTGAAACTTAATGTGATGAAGAAGTAAATGTGTAAAGATTTTACCTCAGATACTCTGCCTGAATTTATAGCATTCTGCTTTTCCATGTAAGTTATTTTTACTGATTTTTTAACTTTTTCCCGAAAGTTTTTGTTAAATGAAAAGTTTGTAAATTATTTTTTTTAAATCCTAGGCTGTACTTTGTATATTTAGCCCTGCTGCCTATTGTTTTGCTAAAGGAAAATGCTTTTATACATTTATACTGTAGCTTGTACTGAATAAATATCTGTATATATGGTGGTGCAGGACAGGAACAATTTAGCGGTTTGATTTGGAACAGTTTACTGACTTTATTATTTTGTTAAATCTGCTACTTTGAAAATACTACAAGGCACAAGCTTGTAATGAAAGAGAACCTGAAAATGGTATTTCTAGCTTGTTTTTGTCCTTGGTTCAAAGCTCTGGATTAATTCGGGTTTTAGTGTGTTGGATTTGCAGCAGTTTTAATAATTTTGTCTTGTGTTTGTCGTTGTAATGTCTAGTGTCTGTGTCTTTCTTTGGTTGCTTTGATTTAATTTTATTGGAGATCGTGCAGGTTTTGCTTTTTCATAATGTTTTGCCCGCCTTTTGTGAATGCTGGTGATTGGGAAAGAATTTGAAAAAAAATTTACTTGCTTAACAAAAATGTAAAGCAGTGAGAGATGTTTTACAGTACTTAACTGACATGCCTTCTATTGGTTCTGAATATTCACCTTTATGGCAGCTGTAAGTGCTGAAACAAAAGCCCACAGTTAAGTTAGTTAACATCCTCCGTGCTCACACCGGTGGTGAATATAATTCATTGAATTAATATTTGCATATGTGGGTCGAATGATACACATCTTGTCTTACTATGGAATAACAAAATTTCCACCTGTTTATGTTAATTCTTTGATAATAAATGTCCCTTGTTCGTTCGATGAATGGTTGACTAGTCTGATTGCTGTGTTTACATAGAGATCTGTGTATGTGCTGATTCAATAGAAAATTTAAGGAAGTGTTATATGCTTGTCCAAGAAAGTAAATGAGATAAAAAGTTTTTATTTTGAAGAAAAGAGGTTTTTTTGTGTGTTTTTTTAACCAAATTTGGAGAAATGCTGATTGTAATACTCATTTGGCTTTTTCATTTTTGTAATTTGTCTGTGGCTCTTTCTTCTCTATCTCCTTATTTGTAGTGTAGCTAACTGAAATAGCATATATAGGTTCTGATGTTCTAAAACAATGTGAACTTAAGGAAAAGAGTAACTCTGTTTGTGGCCGGCATGACGAGATAGGGCCTTACAGGGCTGATGGTTGTTTTACGGATTGAACAGAGACCCTAGGATCATATATTTGAATGTGTGATGGGTTTATTTCTGTCCACGATGTCCATGCTTTTCATTGCATTAGAATTACAGGCAAATAGCAACTTGCAGGCCTTGCCTCTAGAAAGACTGTTATGTTAAAAAGTCATGCTCAATGTAAAGAACTAATCAAAATTATTTAATTTCATCTTCTGGCATGCTCTCAGCTCTTGAACCAATGAGAGGTTGTTTTTTTTAAAAATATCATTGATGACAGTTTCAATTTCATGATTTCTGTTTTCATCAATTATTGTTATAACACCAGCATACATCAATCAGCTGCCCATGGGCTCATGCTCTGACCACACCTCCCCTCCATGCATGTGAGGGGAAAGGTGGAGAAAGCCATTCTTACAGTGTTTTCTCTTTTCTGTGATGAGGAATATTTTGTTGCATATTGTTTGGTTTAAACAGACAAACCTCATTAAATCTTTCTCCCCCCCCCCCCCCCCCCCCCATTATACCACTAGCCTCTCTTACCACCGGGTTTTGCCTATGTATGAAAAGGAATGCCAATATAAACATAATATTTGTGCCTTCTAAAGTCGCCCTGTGAAACTTCAAAGAAACCGTGCCACCTTGGCTTGCTGGCAAAATTTTTGGCATCGCCAGGTATTCTTAGGATTCACACTCAAGTTCACGTGACAGGTCTCAGGAGGACTGACGGGCATCAGGTTAAAAGAAATTAAACGTCCAGGGGAACATTGACACATAGCCTAGCTTCCGATACAGCAGAAATATTCAATTTTGATTTATGTAAAGTTCAGCTGGAGCTATACATGTAAGTGGTTGCTTGTTGAATTTCCCTTGCAAATGGTGATTGTGCTAGATAGATGTAGAAAGGCAAGATTGGCCAGTTTCTCTCTACCATGCTTGACTGCTAGGGTAAACGTCTCTCAATATTATATTGTCCTTCATCCAGTAGTCACAGAATCATTACCCTAGTCAATGGGCAGTCAGTGCTATTTAAGAGGACCCCGTTATACCGCTAGCCCCGAAATACCGCCAACTTTGTGCTCGTCCCTAGGTAACGAGGTTTGACTACTTGTAACCTCTAATTAATTGTGTTATTGGTTATCGCCCTATGAGACCCAGAAATAAAGAAAATAAGCTAATGATTCACAGGGATTTAGTAATACTTTACAAAGAAGGACAATCTTTAGCTTTGATTTGTCTTTCATTACTTTCAAGCATATTGTTGTGCTGATCAGCATTGGGATTAAGGTGATTTGTTTCATTCGTTTACTACATGAAATATTTTCCCTTGATTTTTGAGGAGAGTATAATTTCAATTGGGGTTAGCGTTCCATCAAAGATAAGTTGGAAGTGTTGTGCTACTGTCAGCGTTTGTTTTCGAGATTTTTCCAAATTTTCTCAGCACTTGCATGACTTGTGTAGAAGTAAAATCTAAATCTTGTTTTGGGAAATCGAGAGTCTGTGATTGAAATTGTAACTTCTCGTGTGAAATGTGGTTGTAGTTCAATTTTTAAAACTTTGTTCACCGTTTTTTGTACGTCCAATATCAGCTAGGGTTGTTTACTCATTATGTGTCAGGCTGATGTGTTTGATAATGATGACAAACAGTTGATGAAGGGTTTGTCAATTTGATGCTTTTGTCACTGGCATGAATAAAAGTACTAAATGGAGTTTGATCTTTCTTAACAAATAAAACATCATAGAGGTTTGTAAACATTCTGACTTTTGTTTTTTGCTCCAATGTAATGCGAGTGGTTGAAAGATGTGATGGGTAAGAGACCCATGGTATTTGTTGTTTGTTTCTTGATCCTTTTTTTCCCTTTTCTCCCCTGCGCAGTCAGATGTACATATTTACCTTAAATTTTCTGATTGAGTCGAACCCTGGGGTGGTCTACTTTTATTTTTTGTTGATGTTGTGCTATTATCCTCAACTGTTTACGCAAAAAAATAATATGGCTTTTATTGAGCTTACTGTCAGAATACTGCTACTACTTATAGCAGACTGATATATTACTATCGTTACCTACAGAGCTCAGCCCCCCCCCC